ATAAGGGATCATTTATATTCTATAAAACAAGAGGAGGACAGGCTACTGCGTACAATCACATGTAGCACCTGTCCTTCCCAGGAGTGGCCCGATTTGGCCGTGCACCCCGCATGGATCTGTACAGGCCGACACTTAGCTGTATAAATGAGGCCTTGATCTCACAATGCAGATATGCAGCTATAACACTCAAAGTACAGAGAGTGAACTGCTATATGACAGGAAGATTTCAAAGTAAAATATACTTTTTTTGTGGGTAATGGCTAGGCACAATTAAAGAAGAACTCCCGGGGGGAGGGGAGAATCATATTTGGCTAACCCCAGACAGGTCCCTAGAGCAGGGGTAGCCAAACTCCGGCCCTCCAGCTGTGGTGGAACTACAAATCCCATGATGCATCTCTCTCTGGGAGTCATGTCTGTGGCTGTGAGAATCTTGCAATGCCTCATGGGATTTGTAGTTCCCCCACAGCTTGAGGGCCGGAGTTTGGCTACCCCTGCCCTAGAGCCTCTCTCCTCTTCAGTGGTCTAAGAATATGTATCATCACATTCTATACAAGTGTATAGATGTGAGGATGCTGAGGAACATTCCATCTGTGCAGCGGAGGAGGAAACATGCTTCAGTGACCAGAGAGGCAGGGAGTCAGCTTGGCAGTTTGGGCGAGTATAAATTTTTACTGAGGGGGAAGCTCCACTGCAAGGATTAAGAAAAAAGTTCTTCTTTCACCTTTTTCCATTAAGATAGCAAATCTTCATTTAAAGGCTGTGACAACGCACGCGAAGCCGCACGGAGCAAAGGCATGCAGACCTTCGCATACAGCGTGTCTTGCAGCTTCCCTTCACGCCCGTCAGCTGGAGAGAGCTTGCATAGCCGAGCGTGCCGAGATGAAAAATTCCAATGGGCATATAAACCCGCACGTCAGGACACAAATCCCATTGAGTTCTTACCCGTGAGCCGATCGGCTGAAGTCTTTCATCTCGCTGAACTCGCCTACTTGAGCTCGCGCACACTGCATGTGAATGTCCGCGCCTCGCAGCTTTGTTTTGCGGCTCGTGGCTTCACATGCAGTGTCTCGCGGGTTTAAGTTCAGAACGAGTTCAACAGACTCATTTTGATTGGCTGACGTGGGATACACTTTCTTCCTCTTAATGAATAAGCTTTTTTTATGTAAATGAGATTCATATGCTTCAGCCAACTTAGAGAACTTTTCCTTGGCCTGAGGGTCTTCTTTATTGGTGTCAGGATGGTATTTTTTGGCCAGCTTAAAAAGAAATGAAGTGAGAAAAATAAAAATCAGAACTATTATTATCAGCATCATAATATAAAATCACATTTCAAGGACGATAGCGGGGAAAAAAACGAAATCACATTTTCCTTACAACCATCTCAATAGTCCTCAGCCTATAGATGGGATTTCACAGAATTATTAGCCCTTGCTGATATAATTAGCTAGCTTTCACGGTGCTTGAGGTCAAATGACAGGCATCCCACAGAGAAATCCTTAATTTGCCGCAACGTGAGCTTCATCTTTGGGGAGATACTTGCAAAAAGTTGGGGTGTGATGTAGGGCTGCAACCAACTAATCGATAATGAGAATAGTTGCCAACTATTCTCATTATCGATTAGTTGGTTAGATACCTTAGCTCCATTTTGGGAGGAGGGCACAGCAGGCAGGTGCAATAGCCAGCCTGCTATTGCAATTTGAAATGACCAATATCAGGCTGGCTATTGCACCCGCCCATTACCTGCTGTATTTACATACAGCTGCTGTCTGCGGAATCTTGCTACTGACAGCTGTCATCCCGGGCTGAAGCTATTCAAGCGCCTTGATACAATTATTAAAGGTGGGGGAAAAAAATCATTTTTGGTTTCAGCCTGACAAATTTTGCTGCGGGAGGTGCGTTGTAGTGCCATTCATTTCAATGGCACCCCAAATGCGCCTCCCACAGTGTGATCGCCCGCACTGGGACGCACGGTACAACAATGCCGTTTCAGTGCAGTGCGATTGCAAATTATTGTGCCTGCGGTTTTATTCTGACGTAAACTTTATGTTTTTAACACTTCATTTGTGTATTTTATTTCAAATTAAGAAAGGTATTTAATTTGTTTTATCTGATTAATCGAAAAAAATAATTGGCCAACTAATCGATTATGAAAATGATCATTAGTTGCAGCCGTAGTGTGATGCTTCTTAATAGAACACTGGGGATGATCATTAGACTTTAGCAAAGGCAGTATCTCCTACTAGCTCTCAATTCCCGCAAGTGTACTACAATGATTGATTTTATGATCAGCAAGGCAGAACTAGGCAAGTCAGAACTAGGCAAGGCAGAACTAGGCAAGGCAGAACTAGGCAAGGCAGAACTAGGCAAGGCAGAACTAGGCAAGGCAGAACTAGGCAAATATTTACAATAAAATGCCCTAAAAATCGATTAAAAATGTAAATGTCTCTTGAAGTATATAATCTTTATCTCCAAAAATAAATGTAAAAAATAACTGTAATAAATGACCGTTTCTGAACTAAACCCAAGAACAAGAATGCAATACATTGCAGCTCAGCAGTACTTGGATGTGGTGGTGGTGGCGGCATTAGTTTCCATTTTCACACCAATATTTTCAGCAAGTACAGGAAATACCTGCCGATCTTGCCAGAATAGAATGGTCCTAGAAACTTCTTATGAGCTTAAAAGAAAGCTCAAACACCCATGTGTAAACTACTAGTCCCATAAATCCACCATGTAATGGAGATGAACAAAGGGAAACATATTTGTAGTCCAGTCTGGCTGTCCCCATAGCTACAATGGAGAAATGAGGGTAAGCAACGAAGGGACAGGAAGTGTGGAGTTCATGAGATTACCAGGTACAAATGATGGGGAAAAAAAGCCTTAGGAAATGCAGCCACCACATCTAAGGACCAGTAAGATGCAACGTATTACATTTTTGTTTTTGGGCTTAGATACACTTTGAAGCAGGAATAGGCAACTCCGGCCCTCCAGCTGTTGGAGAACTACAATTCCCATGAGGTATTGCAAGAGTGACAGTTACAGGCATGACCCACAGAGGCAGGGGCATTGGTAGGTAAAGCACAGCTGGAGGGCTGGAGTTGCCCACCCCTGGTTTAAAAGAGAACTATGGGGTCAGGGCTTTTCCCAATAGTTCTTTAAGGGTAATAGGAGGACACCTGTCACCCAAAGCTCAGTATACCGCGAGCTACATACACGCGGTTAATTGAGAGGCCACAGCCGGGACGGATCCCGACAATACTGTCTGGATCCACCCAGCTGCGTGAGTGACAGCTGGCTCTGCCTATCTAGAGGCAGAGCCAGCTGTACCCGCCCCTTCCGCCAGTCAGCGCTGGAGGATCAGAGCGGGGAGGGGGGAATCCCTGCAGGGAGCAGTGAGTGACAGTCACGGCTCTCTGCAGGGACATGATTGATAAGTGAGCGAGCGACGGTATGTGTTCTCTCACTTCCTGGTCTATTGAGCTGACGTGTGACAATTGTCACAGGTCGGCTAGAACTATGAGGTGAGTGATTTTCACTCACCTCATAGTTCTCCTTTAAAGTGAACTTCTAATTGGCCCGTATAAGACAAATCAATTGGTTCACTTAACTGCTTCCCTCGCTATGTACATTCACTTCCTTTACCTTAAATCCACTGCTGCTTCATTCATTTGTGATAAGGGGGAAACATTTCGTGTTCTTACAACATTTAAAATGAAAACCAAATGGCAGCCAAATTATTATTAATTCTAACCAAAACACAATTAGATTTAGACAAGGATGTAGATTGTGTGCAGAAGGCCTTGGTTCAAAACGCATAATTAAGTGGACTGCGCGTTTCACAATAGTGAAATAGAGCCGACCTGCAGAAACCAATGTCAAGCCTCCCAAACATCAAATGGACTCTGGCCACAACGTACTATGACCAAGAGACGGCCAGGTCACGTGAGGAGAGCAGTGAGGCTTCACGCGATTTCTGGGAGTTTGTATCATCTTTTTTGGATGCGTGCCTGTCAACTTAGAAAAAACAAAAAACCTTATAAGCTATTATTGAATATTTTATATTTGTAATCATTTTTATTTACAATGTATTTCTTATTTTATATTTAAATCACATTACAATTGGATATGGCCAGGAAATATATATCTATATAGATATATATGTGTGTGTGTTACTTTTTTTTTTATCTTTACAAAGTAATATTTATTTGTATTTATTCTATATTTGAATATTTACTTATCTTTTTTAATTATTAATAAGCTATTTTTGTGCTGCTTTTCATGGAAGGGTCTATATACAAACCGGATCATGCCAAATGCTTTTGGAAGTCATACACATAGGTTGGTGTAAAGGACAATGCACTTAATCAGCACAGGACCTGCTCATTGTTTACATCCTACACCTGCAATCTTCCTCCCCGCTGCCTGCACCCGGCCTTCATAGGCTTCTAAGCGGTCATCTTCAGAGGCTGGAGCTGCTCACTCCCATAGAAGTCTGAGAACTCACTGCATGCCTGCCGCTGGTGGTGAGGAAGTCTGTGGCTGCTGGATGTCTACAATGCGGCAGGCCACGGGCTGTGAAGTTCAGGTAAGTAAGCACTTGTGGGGAGTGGTTAAATAGTCCAGTAGGGCCGGGCAGGGTGGACTGGGTAGTCCAGTAGGGCACGGTGGACTGGGTAGTCCAGCCGGGCACGGTGGACTGGTGCCCGGAGTTGAGCTATAGTAAACATTACCTGGTAGTAGGCCTTCTTTATTTCTTTCTGGCTGGCATTCCTCGGCACCCCCAGGACCTGGTAATAATCGGCTTTGTTGCAGGCGGATGAACTTGTGTGAAATGGTGAGACGTGTCCTGTGTAGACTGGAGGAGACACAAGAACAACAATACAATGACATCACAATTGTTGTATCAGTAGCGCACCACCACCACATAGCATGTAATGACAAGGACCATCATACACACATATGCAATTCATACATCACATGATAAAAACATGGTGAAGCAACATAAAATTATACAATCCAGCGGAGGGCAACCTGCCCGCTATAGACGTGATCAGAGGGCAACCTGCCCGCTATAGACATGATCAGAGGGCAACCTGCCTGCTATAGACGTGATCAGAATATGGTCTATAGTACATTACATGAAGTCTACTTCATCATATCAGAACCCACAGGTGACTAACATGGGGCTGTCATCAAACTCCCACCATGTCTATGCTGTTGGCTTAGGTGTTACATTTGACTTGTAGTTATATTCATGCAGAACTACAAATCCCAGCATGTCGTGCCAACATGTGACTAACAGGCATGATGGGAGTCGTAGTTCCACACAGAGGGCTGTCAACTCCCTGTAACCTTGAGCATGCCGCACTGATGGGAGCCGAGGCCGGGCCCTGCCTCTCACTCACCTCCCGCGAGGATCCGGGCCCCCAACGCTCGCAGAGCCAGCAGCTGGGCCCCCTCGCCCCGGGGCCATCGGCGTACACCCGGCAGCAGCTGCCCCCTCGCCCCGGACACTGCAACTGCGAACCAGCGCGAGGAGCAGCGAGCCGCCATCTTGCCGGCAACAACGAGCAGTGCGCATGCGCGACAGACACACACGGGGAGGAATGTCACATTGGTTAGCAGCTGGCTCCAGCCGCTAGGGGATCCGGAAGTGACGTCCGTGAAGGAGGCAGGAAATAGGCGGAGGCGGAGCGAATTGAGGGAAAGACAAATTTCACTCACTGTGTTGTGCAAATGGATAAGATGGATATGTGTGTGCTGGGTGAGGAGGGTCAATGTCAGCAACATAAGGTGACCTGGATTGGGGGTGTTGCATTGTTAGCGTTACAGTGCACTGTCAATGTTACAGGGGGTGCTGGGTGACATGAGTGGGGTGCAGTGTCAGTACTGTTGGATGTCATGGGGGTGCTGGGTGACAGGAGTTGGGTGGGGTGCAGTGTCAGTACTATGGGATGATATGGGGGTGCTGGGTGACAGGAGTTGGGTGGGGTGCAGTGTCAGTACTATGGGGGTGCTGGGTGACAGGAGTTGGGTGGGGTGCAGTGTCAGTACTATGGGGCTGCTGGGTGACAGGAGTTGGGTGGGGTGCAGTGTCAGTACTATGATGAGATTTTCACTTTTGATGATCCTGGGACACGGCGCCATATCCGCTTTACCACTTCGATCACCACAACCAGTAACGGGAGAGGTCAATACGCTGTATGGAGTGCAGGTGACCCATCACAAACATGGAATGACGACCTGACACTGAAGAGGAGGGGGGAGCCGGGAGACACTGTGCAGTTGCTTCACTGGGTACACGTGTGGATACCGGAAGATGGGGATCCCTGAACAGTACTGGAATTTTAATAAATTCACATTATGAAAACCAACACATTTCAGAGCTGTTTATTTATTTATTACAGGTATTTATATAGTGCCAACAATTTACGCAGTGCTTTACATAGTGCACATTCACATCAGTCCCCTCCCTCAAGGAGCCCCCTGCCACCAGCCCTGTAATGCAAATTATTTTTTTTGCAATAAAGAATTGCAAATTTTTTTTTAAAAAGGCACCCTGGTACCGTAAATTTCGTAAAAAAAGTGTTCCCTATGTATGAAACATTTATTCTTATCCATATTTTTGGTAAAATATAAATTATTCCTTGCACTCTGACGTTCGCGGTGATATGTAACATGTGCGGCACAATAGGTGCAATCGTTGTTTTTGCACGTAGGCGCACATGACGCATCTTTGCGCGTGTATGTGGGGGGGGACTTTAAAAAAAAATGCTTTTTTTTTGTTTATTACTTTTTTTTTTTTTAAATACGCAGAGATACGCTGCCCGGACGCATCTCTGTTCCATTCTGTTTTTGCGCATATATACGCTGCGCAAATATACGGCTCCATACGCGGCTGTGTGTATGGAGCCATTTATTTGCATATGGTACAATACGTACGTATGAGCGTATATGAGCGGCAGTGTGAATGAGGCCTAAACCTCATATATAACCTCACCATATAATGTTATTGAAAATGAAAATCTTCCATGACATACTTTTCTGAATGCAGAATATAGCAGAGAGAGAGCTCAAACACTAGACGCAGCAGCCCATTCACTTCTATAGGGGAAAGTCCGACCTGGGGCAGCCCATTCACTTCTATAGGGCAAAGTCTGACCTGGGGCAGCCCATTCACTTCTATAGGGGAAAGTGACCTGGGGCAGCCCATTCACTTCTATAGGGGAACGTCTGACTCGGCAGCACCCTATTCAATTCTGCAGAGGGAAAGTCTGACGCAGCAGCCCATTCACTTATATAGGGGAAAGTCTGACCAGGGGCAGCCCAGCCCATACCTAAAATAAAAACTTCATAGACACTAAACACCTTGGTCCATGACAGGTTACTCATCGTGGAGGATTTCCCTGCTGTGTAACCTGAATGCAGAAAAAGCTGCCAGCTTCAGACATGAAGCTGACAGCTCTTTCCTCCATAATTCTACGTGAGGCTCTGCCTCCCCTGCCTGCATGTCCCTGCACAGCAGATATAGTGCAAAGTCATCAGTATGTAACACAGCGCCCCATACATTGCTGGTCAATGGGAGGAAACATACTGTGTGGTCAGTGTCCAAATAATTTACATCTATAGGGGGACGTATGACCAGCAGCAGCCCATTCACCTTTATAAGGGAAAGTCTGACATGAGGCAGCCCATTCACTCCAATAGGGGAAAGTCTGGCTTGGGGCAGCCCATTCACTTCAATAGGGGAAAGTCTGGCTTGGGGCAGCCCATTCACTTCTATAGGGGAAAGTCTGGCTTGGGGCAGCCCATTCACTTCTATAGGTGAATGTCTGACGCAGCAGGCCATTCACTTCTATATGGGAAAGTCTGACCTGGGGCAGCCCATTCACTTCTATAGGGGAAAGTCTGGCCTGAGGCAGCCCATTCACTTCTATAGGTGAAAGTCTGACGCAGCAACCCATTCACTTCTATAGGGGAACGTCTGACCAGGGGCAGCCCATTCACTTCTATAGAGGAACGTCTGACTCGGCAGCACCCTATTCAATTCTACAGGGGGAAAGTCTGATCTGTCTGACTTACAAAACCCACGTGAGAAGCATGAACCGCATGCTCAACCCGTCTCCATAGCAGCAACAACACTGACAGGCATGCCTAGACGATGACAGATAGAGAGACTGGCAGGAGCCGAGAGGAGCAATCGATCGCCGCTGTCATCGATGGACACAGTCTCTCGGGCTGGGAGGGACTCAGGGGAGAGCAGAGAGAGGAAGAGACAGGCAGCATACAGGAGCCAGAACGGAGTAGCAGCCTGAATCAGGGACACACACATTCAGGAATAGGCTGTGACAGTCACCGGGAGGCGAGCAGCCTGTCTGCAACAACATGAACCGCTTCAAGCCATCTAAATACAAGAACTGCATCCCGAAGATCCCCAAAAAGGAGGTGAGGAGGGAGAGGAAAGGGTTAACACCGCTGTGCAGGTAAAAAGGGGGCACTCCGATGAGTGACAGCAGCATGGGCTCTGTGCACCTTAAAGGGTTAATCCATTAGGAATCAGGGATGGTATTTATTCAGGAGGGAGGGGGATTTGCTTTGCCGGAGCTCTGTGCTAACTTGCACTGACATGTGTCATGAATGCAGCTTGGCATAGACAGGATGGGGTTAAAGTAGTGCATTGGGGGGGGGGTACCCATGGGTGACTGTCTCCATATGCCCATATAAGGAGAGCACACCTCTGTGCCCGCTGTGTGTGCAGGATCTGAATGGAGGTGTGATGTCCGCCCTAAGTCCCAGCTCCTAACCTTTGCACTGTAATAAAGATGTGCAGGGGCGGTAACCCATAGCAACCGGCCGGGTTTCACTTTACAGGTAGGAGAGCACATCTGGTTGCTATGGGTTACTGAACTTTGCACAAGAGGGTTCCTGCTCCTATTCTGCCAGGATATCTGTATTATATTATGCCTGTGCACTGGAGCCCTTATGCTGTTTGCTCCTCCTTACCAAATATAATGAGTACCTGAGCTGACAAGTAGGGATTATTCACACCATGTGCATTGGACTGCTCTGGCCAACTTTACCCAACGTAGTCCCTCCCAATGCATAGACAAAAGCAGTGTGCCAAGAGTTCAGTTCCCAACATTAGTGATGGCTCTTATGTGTGTTTATACCAGGGGTAGGCAACCTTGGCACTCCAGCTGTGGTGGAACTACAAGTCCCATGAAGCATTGCAAGACACTGACAGCCACAGGCATGACTCCCGAAGACAAAGGCATGATGGGATTTGTTGTCTCACCATGGCATGTATCTATCTATATGACTATCGCATGCTTTATACCACGTGATAGTCAGCTTCCTAAGGAGAAAGTTTCATTAATCTATAGGTGGCAGTGTATGCTGAGGGTTGTAGTTCCACAGGAGCTACTGTATACAGGTTTCTCTAATGTGTCAGTGACCCATATAAAGGTGAGCATCGTATAGCCGGTATCTGCCGCGTGTGACGAGGAAGTAACCTTTGATTTTATCTGATCTTAGATCTTATATAACCAGGTAATGCACAAGTAAAATATCTATGTTGCCCGTAGCAACCAGATTCTACTGATGCATTTGAAGAAAAAAATCGGCACACACGCCAGTACAAAGTTTTCTTCCAAAGAACTTGCTACTTCCAGCATTGGCCGCCCACGGCTAACGCATTTCACTGGTATGATCTTTGTCATAGAGCTCAGCCCATATGGGTAAAAGGCGTTAGAGGTGGGCGGTCACATGGCGGCGGGTCCCATCATTCTGGAAGTTCTAGGGATTAAAATTTTGTATAGGTGAATAGCGGTGTGTGGCTTTTTTTCTTCTTCTTCATATCCTGTAGTGGTGGAGCGTGGATGGCTTTGAGAAAGCATACGCATACCCCGGTGTCGTTTTTCATCTCAGCGCCCAGCTCTGGCTCCGTCTCTGGTCGGCGTCTCATCCAGCTCACTGGCATCACTGGTTGCCAGGAGCTGGGCAGGACAACAGGCAGAGCCTCACAGGTTGCTAAGTGCTGGCAGGGAGGTGTATATGGCCCTTACACATCTCCTTAGCAACCTGGGACGCTCTGGCCAGAAAGGGGGCGGCAGGCGCACTGCAAATATTGTGCAGCAGAGAAGCCATGCCGCTCTTCCTGCCGTGACCCCCACCTGACCCAAGGAGATGCCGCCTGAGGCAACAGCTTCAGGCTGCCTCATTATAGGGACGAGTCTCTGGCCCTTGACTCTCAGTATGACAAGAGTTTCACCGGACAGGAAGTAAGAGGGGAAAAAAAAGACAAGAATAAAAATGCTTTATTCCAGGTTGCAGATTTCCCTTCACTTCCTGTCAGGTAAAAGCGTTGTCACTGGTGGCAGCCAGTGAGGAAAATATTTCTGGAAGGCCTCATGCACACAGGAAGAAAAACGCCACTTTCAGAGGCCAGTCAAAGATGATGTGGTATGGATCGTCTCGGCCAATCACTTTTGACGGTTTGGCGCCCTCAGCGCTCGCCCTTTCACAGGCACAATTTTCTTTGTTTGTAGGAAGATCTTGAGCTGCAAATCTCTTTCAGCAGCCGCGGACCGTGCACCGTACCTAAAATCTGTGGGCAGCTTTTAGAAAATGCAGATTTCCTTCTCATTGGAGCAGCACTGATTTCTCTGCCGCTGTGATAAATTTAGCCTCAGCGGTCCTGCGCATTTCCAAAGCTTTTTTGCACGCTGAGCTGAATGGCAGAAAGTCTATTGTGCTATTTCCGACATAGCCGAGGGTTATTAAACCCTGAAATGAGAACTATTTATAGTGTGTGCGCATACCTGTGTATCTAAAGCAGCATTTACACAGGGCTGGAACTTGTACACTTAGTTCTCACGTCAGAACAAATGCCCCAATACTAAGATTATGGGGTCTGTTTATAAACGATTTGTAGAGCCGTTCTCTTTGCAAATATGTGTGAATGCTCACCCTGTGCGGATATTTACCAGAGCAAACATTCTTTACAAGTTGATTTCATTTTTGAATGTTTGTATGTAATACTTCATTATGGCCACCAGATGGAGCTAAAGGCACATAGGAAATAAGTATTTATTTTCTATACTTCCCAGCGCCATCTAGTGGCCATAATGTGATATTACATGAAAAAAAACATTTGAAAATACATTTCCTTGTAAAGAAACAACTAAAGAATGTTCATGTTGGCATATATTTGTACAGAACAACGGTCACGTGTATGCGTAGAGCGAGCGGCCATATAAATAGACCCCTATGTCCTTTACACAGAACATTTACTTGCCTAACCAGGCCTACAACATGCTGACATTGTGTAAGGAATCATCCGTATGTTCTAACTCTATTTCTACTGACAACGGGGAAAGATTTACTCGTATTAGAAAAAGTTGCCTCTTTTCCCGGCAGCCTATAGGCACAGGCCTACTATTCCTTGTGCTAAATCCGGCCCTAATAAAAATCTAGCTCAGGAAAGGAGAAGGCACATTGTGCAAGAAGCACATTGATTGCAATGTATGTGTAGCCGTCATTACACTATAGGCCAGGAGTGGGCAAACTACGGCCCCCAGCTGTGCTCTATTATTATTTTTATACAGGATTTTTATAGCGCCAATAGTTTGCACAGCGCTTTACAATATAAGGAAGACATTACAGTCACAATACAATTTAAGACAAGATGGTAAGGACGGCCCTGCCCCTGAGGGCTTGCAATCTAAAAGTGCTCTAACTACAAATCCCATGATGCATATGTCTCTGGGAGTCATGCCTGGGGCTGTGAGAATCTTGCAATGCCTCATGGGATTTGTAGTTCCACAAGAGCTGGAGGACAGGAGTTTGTCCACCCCTGCTATAGGCTTTACATATTAACGTAGCTCAGAAGCTTTTGCACTGTGATGGTGGGATCCCTCAGTGTTACAGTGTCAGTGAGTTTATAATACAAGTTACAGAGCAACAGCAGTCTGTATACTATAGCTGAGTGCATTGAACTGGTTGCTATGGGTTACAGAACCCTGCAGCTCTTTGGAGTGTCAGTATTTAGCTGCGCCTCCGCAGCTGTCACTGAGGCCTCCCACTCACTTCCCACTTATGTTTTTCATTTCTTCAGTCAGGGAGGATGTGAAGTCTTCCAGCCTGGAGATGGTGGCACGCGTCGACCGTTCTATAGCCATCCCTATATATAATATACAAGGGGATCTGTGTCTGAGTATTGCAGAGCTGACGATTTCCGCTGTCTTGTTTGTTTGAAGCTGTCATAAGACTTTCATTTCCTCCCGTACTTCCTGTGCCTCTTGCAACCTTCAGCTGTATCCCCTGGCAGGGTTATCCTTCCTACTAAAACAAGGCCAAGGTTTATAGAAAGAGCTACATGCATGTGAAGTATCAATACGAGTTACAGCTGGTAACCCATTGCTTTTCATCTAAAGAGGAACTACAGATCCCAGCAAGTTCTGCCATTTGCAGCTAGCTGTGAAACCTGTGACATGCTGTGCAGGAATAAGGTGGCAGCCACTGCGGAGCTCTTCTTCTGACAATGCTCAGTGCCTGGCTGTCCTGCTGTTTAATAGCCATGGTTAAAGCTGAACTCTGACTTTCCCTTCAGTCTTGCACATGTGTACCGGCTCCTCTGCTGGAATGAAATAGCTTCCTCTGATTTTACTGCACTCTGTGAGCTTCTCACAATGTGCATCAGAAGCTGCAGTAAGTCAGACAGAGCCCGCCTCATCTTCTGGATGGAGGACATCTAGCATCATCTTGCAGTATCCAAGCATGCACACTAGAGGGAGCTGCAGGATACAATCACTGCGCATGCACAGCAGAGGGAGCTGCTGGAAACAACGGCACATGTGCAGAAGAGGGAACTGCTTTACACAATAAATGAGCATGCACAGTAGACGGATCTGCTGGACACAGTAACCATGCATTCGCAGTAGAGGGAGCTGTTGGAAACAATAACTGCCCATATGCACTAGTGGGAGCTACTGGACACAATAACTGCGCATGTGCACTAGAATATGCTGCCATATACAATAACTGCACATGCGCAGTAGAGGGAGCTGCTGGATGCAATAACTACGCATGCACACTAGAGGAAGTTGCTGAACACAATAGCTGCACATGTGCAGTAGAGGGAGCTGCTGGACACAATAACCGTGCATGGGCACTAGAGGAAGCTGCTGCTGGAAACAATAACGGCACATGTGCAGAAGTGGGAACTGCTTTACACAATAACGGTGCATGTGCACTAGAGGGAGCTGCAGGATATGCAGCTCCCTCTAGTGCACATATGATAGTGCAGGATATGATAATGGTGCATGCACACTAGAGGGAGCTGCAGGATACAATAAATGCACATGCACTGTAGAGGCAGCTGTTGGACACAATAACTGCCCATGTGCACTAGAGGGAGCTGCTGGATACAATAACTGCATGCGCAG